GAGCTAAGAGAAAAGAAGGAAGGAAAGAAAGACCACAGTGGTGTGTTGGACTTGCAGAGGGACAGAACATACCTATGGTTGCAAAGCGGAATGGGGAGGAAAGGGGGAGGGCGAGGGAGGTTGGGAATAACTGGGTGGGGGACATGGAGTACAAACACAATGTGTGGTAATGGGCATGCTGCTGGTATGGATCTGGCCTTCACATCTTGGGCATGAGGGGTGACGATCAGCTTTGTATCTCATGAATATTCATAACCAATAAAATAAATAAATAACCCCCTCCACCCCCCAAAACCCAAAAAACTCCACAGTAAATCTGAGTCTTGGAGATGGTTTTCACCTGGCCATTCTCTTCCAGGTTTAAAGGAGAGCTGGGTTAGCCCAGCATCTCTCCGTGGGTCATCAATATTCCTTAATAAAAGGTGACTTCCATTGGCAAAAAAGAAAAGCAATACTTGCTAACTCTAGAAATCTGTAAGATACAAAAATGAGTAAAAAGGAAATATCTGTCCTAAATATAATCACAACCCATATTTAACGTATTTAGTCTTTCATATAAACATGAAGAAACGTACACACTTGATAAGTTGCTACAGTTTTACAGCCTATTGTTCCACAACATCTTCCTGTCTTCTATGAAACATACCACCTGACGCTGCAGGAGTCCATTCCAGAGCTTTCCCATAATTGAGAGGATCCCCCCACTGTTGTTGGACAATTACCCTGTTTTGTACTTTTTGCAGTTGTAAATGATGCTTCAGTAAGCATGTCTGTATCCCAAACCCAGGCTACCTCTGTTTGTATTTTTGAGACAAGTCTTGTCAGAAAGGTTAGCCATATTTTACAAACTGCCCTCCAGAAGGAGGGAGCCTGTTTCAACACCATCTCACCATTAAAAACAGGAAAGCAGCTGCTTTGCACACAAGAAATGGTATTCAAGAGGGAGCCGTCCCAGTCAGTGCTCATGCACTCCATCTACGTGCACTCTGGCCCCTTGCAGGAGCTCGCTGAAAATTATGGGGACAGTTTTACTTGCCAGCGTGCTTTGTCTCCCAGCTGCTAGGAAGCACCCCCTCATAATCATCATCCTCATTACTCTAGTCACTCCCTAGCTGAGCAAAAGAGTCCTGGCTGCTACGTGTTGCCATTAACATAGACACCAATCCACACCTCATCTGTCTGTCCCATGATATACTCTGGAGGCTTTATTTGTTAATTTAAAAAATAAATTTCTGTGACCTGACTTCCAAGTTATTTGTCTCTCTCCTAAAAAAAAAAAAAAGAAAAAGAAAAAGAAAAAAAAAAGGGCTAACAAAATGACTGAAGCTTTCTTAGTTAAGGCTCTAGTAGCTGTTGATGAAATTACAATTCACAAAAACAAACTCCAGTGTTGTAAAAGATTGGGACACATTTTTTAGTACATAAACTATTAAAACAGAACCACAAGCAAATCGTCGTGTCTACCAGTGAACTTACTTTGAAATGTCTTTGTTGTCCTGCTGCCACAAAGACAGCACATTTCCAATGGCCGCCCTGTAGCAATAGATGCCCAGCAGCCCAAGCGCCAAGGCCCCCTTGGACACGGGGGAGCACCCTCTCTGAATCAACACGAAAATCACAAGGAGGGAAAGGGCAGCCAAAACAGAGAGCTCAGCTTTGTGATCAGAGCTGAAACAAGATGGAAAATGCCACAATTACTACCAAATGGGGCCAGTGATGCTATGAATCTACACCAGTGGCTTTCAAAGAACAGTATTAAAAATAACTGACTGAAAAAAAAGGGTAAAAAAAGAAAGAAAATGGTTATTTAAATTCAAACAAAGGTCTTAAAATGCAATGAATAAAAGACGGTCAACCTAAAATCCCACTTTTCATTCACAAATCAGCAATGACCATCCTCTCGTTCCACTGATGTCCTCTTCTGGGACCTTGTATCTGCCAGCACACAGATACCTGCATACCTGTCCCTGACTGGCCCTGTCCTGTTTGCTCATTAACACAGATGAACTCACTTGACCCTCCCAGCCCCTCACAGGATCTGCTGTCCCCCACTCTGCGTGAGGAGATGGTGCAGAGGTTGCCTGAGAGAAGAGCCCAGAGCCTCAGCCTGGTCCTGCCCACCAGCCTGCCACCTGGGGGCACTGAGAAGGCTGGGCTTCCTTGTTTTATTCACCACAGCCACACTTATGCCTTCCCAGCCCTGTCCCACCCAGCCCTTGCTCCACAGCTGCCCCAGGGAGCACTGGCAGTGGAGTCTGGCAGTCAGGGAGGCACTGAGTGAGGGTGGGGGCCTGGAGCAGGGTAGTGGCAGTTGGGAAGAAACCACCAGTGAGCCTGAACATTTTAAAACACACAGGTTTTCAATCATGAACAACTACAGTGACTGAGCACTAATAAATAAAACCTATTAGGGTAGCCTCAAAATAAATTCACCTTTCAATACTGATTCATGAGTTACCTTTTCCTATTGCTTCAGGTCTCAAATACTATCCTATTCTTAAAAGGAAAATAGGTTTAAATTGAGAAAAAGAAGAGCTTGGCATGTGACCAATCCGCTGTGGAAGGTCCAGCCTTGCCACAGCTCATGCTCTCACCTGGTAAGCCAGTGGCCAAGGTCAGGCCGGTGGGCCCACTGCACGCCTGTCTGGTTTAGCGACCGCAGCAGCCGGCAGCAGGTCAGTATCAGCCACGGACTTGCCAGCACCATCCACTTGTCCCGGCCTCTCAGCACTTCACGGGGAGAGGGGCTCTCACAGTCTTTGTTGTGCCTGGACGCCTTGCAGCCTGTCCTATCTTGCAACGCTGGGATCGTGCCATCAAGACCTTGCCCAACGTGGAAGCAACACTGAGGCTCATAGTCATCTTGCAGAAAGTAGTTTCTATAGATTTCTTGACTCAGGACTAGACACAGGGTGTTAACAAGGAAGTACCAGGTCTGGTGCTCCTCCTCCACGAAGCTGCTGGCACCCAGACTCAAGACGTGGCCTACCGTCCCTAACAAAATAAGAAGGTCTAACTCTGACCACCTTGAGTTGGAATGATCTGGATTCTGTAAAAAGGAAAATGTATTTTGTAAGGAATAATCTGAAAACTATACACATCTTGCTGCATGTTCTTAAAGTCCTTGCTTACAACAAATCATCCCCCATGACAGACACCTGTGTTCCCCATGCCCAGCACCTACTTCCCTAACCTGGATCAGCCCCCTCTACTTCAGTGGGATGACCCTTCCTCCTGGGACACAGACTGGGGGTGTCAAGACACCTCGCCCCAGCCAGGGGGCATGGACAGTGTGGTCATCAGCTGTCCCCACCCTGGACTGCAAGTCCCAGGCTGAGTGGCAAAGAAGCTGAAAATGGCTAGAACCCTCTGGGTAGTGCTGGAACCCAAAAAGCTCGCCTGGCAGCTTCTGGCACTGACCCTTCATGCACCCGTTCCACGTCCTTGTGAAGCCTGGGTCTTCAGTCAGCTACAGCTAGTTCTGCTGCTTGAAACCAAAGAACCCTGATGACACATTCCACCAAACCAGACATCTAATTTCTCCATGAACTTTCTAGAAATCCAGTTTCCAATAAAATGGTTAATTCTGTTGAAATGACAAAATTGGCATCAAGCACTATCCCTTAAATACATTAACTTATAACATTTAAAATGAAAGATGAGGACTCTAATACTGTCATGTACTCTTTGATAACCATGTGTGCTGTGCAGCTCGGTACAGCAGAGAGGGAGACACCATGAGCCCAGCCAGGCCCTGGGGGTGCAGATGTGCATGAAGTCAAGCCCGATGATGACACAGGCAGCACCTCAGACATACAGGAAAGGGCCTCTGATTGTCCTGATGGGGCAGGCAGATGGGAAGCTGCACAGGGTGAGGTTCCAGTGTGTCCTGGAGTCACTGCAGTGGGTCTCTTGATAGTGGGCACTGTGGGCCTGACTGCAACTGTCCACCCATTCCACACCACCCACCACCACCACCAAGTAATGAATGAAGGTGTCGGGGGACAAAGACTCTTAACAACTCCTATGGAAAATGTCAGCTATGAAAAGACAACTGCACTTCATGTGGCAGGACAGATTCCTGAGACAGTAGGGTGAGCAGAGGGACTGATGTAGTTTGGATGTGTTCATCCCCCAAAGCTCAGGTTAGAAACTTAATCCTCACAGTGACAGTGTTAACAGGGTGGAAAATCCTATAAGATAATTGAAAGATGGGAGCTTTGGGAGGTGATTAGATTTTGAGGACTGTGCCCTTGGGAATGGACTGATCCATTGATAGTGTCATGGGTGGTTCTGATGGCTTTAAAAGGAGAGCACGTGAGGAGGTCAGGCTCTCTCTGCTCCTGCCATTCCTGCCAGGTGACACCCTGCCTCACTGTGTACAGTCACCACCACCAAGAACAAGGCCCTCACCAGGTGTGCTCTCTGGACTTTGGAACTCCCAGTCTCTGAAACTTAAGCAATAAATATTGTTTCTTTACAAATCACCCAGTTTCGGGTATTTCCACTACAAGCGATAGAAATGGACTAATAATACAGGGACCTCCTTCTGATCCTCCTGAGTGTCTAATTAATTGACTATTTCTCCTCTCAACTGTTCTTCTCTTGGTTGCAGCTCAAATGTCTCTTCTGGGAGACAGTCTGGTGCACACACTCTCCATCGCCTGGGTTCCTGTTCCTTTGTGACCAGCAGCTCTTTACAATCTCTCCCGTCACAGTCACAGGAACCCTGTCTTTCCCACCAATTAAAGCATATGACCTGACACACAGACCCAAACATCTTTCGTCCAAACTCCAGAGGCCTGGGATAAGGCTACTCGAAATACTTCCCCACCATCCCCCTCACAGCATGTGCTCCTTTCAGAGCATCACCAGCAACATGCCTGGCACACACCAAGTGTTCAACCAACGTCTGATGAATAAAAGACTGGCTGAAATAACAAAAACCAGCTTACACAAGAAGAAGAAGTCATATTCCCAACAACCAGTTGTACCTTACTCAGGAGATCTCCACTGACGAACATCCTGGTAGCAGCAGAAACAATCGCACACAGCAGCGCAGAAATCAACAACATCACTCCACCTGCTGCCAGCCATGAGAGGCTGCAGAAATAGCAGGAGCTCTCGGCTGAGGTGCACACAATAACATGAATGGCCAAAGAAACCAGAAACACCAGATAAAAGAGCAGAGAAAACACAGGGGACGACAGCGGAACCTCCAGCTCAGCCTTTCTGCACAGTGCCTGTGGGATGCTGAGAAGCAGCAGGGTGAGAACCTGGAACAGAAAAGTAACAACAGTGTCCTTGACTGCTGGGCTTGCAGAAACCTATTCAAATATACATCTGTCTCCCGAACTTGTGTCATGTGCTCAAACAGTGGAAACAGAACAGAAAATCCAATAAAAGACTATTTCTAATTAGCTGCCAAAAATGTGGGGTTTGATGTTTTTATCACCTGCTGCAATGCTGGGTGAAGCCATTTGACACTTGACAATACTTTGTGTATTGTCACAAATCAGGCCACTCAATGGAAGAGTTAAACTAGAAAGTATTTTTCCATTTTTTGCAACAACTATACGCGGGTACTTCAAAAGGTTCACAGAAAAATAGAACTAAAAGATAACACGAATCATTCCATGAACTTTTTGAAGACCCCTTTAATACATATATTAAACTACAATATTTTGGCTGAGTTATCAAATCAATTTAACACCTGAGCCATGACTCTTGTAAGTATCTGTACCTCCAAAACCACGACAGTCCCCGCAAGCATGGAGTAGAGGTCATACTGGGCCACTTGTGTGCTCAGGGACAGACTCAGGGTCTTCAGAGCATCCAGGTACTGCCTGAGAACCTTGGTCCCCAGATTGAAAAGGACTTCTGAATGATTTTCCTGCAAGTACAGTTTAATCCAGTTCCCATGCAACCGTTCTGACATTTTAAACTGCTCATATCCAGGATCTATCAAGAAGACAAAAAAGTTATATATGCATGAATACACACACACACACACACACACATCCATCATACACATAACTTCAAGGTATTCAGCTGTTCATGGCAATTGGAACAGCCTTCATTTTTTACAACTGATACCTAATGAGGATGAACTACTCCTTCGAGGCAGGAGGGGAGAAGAGGGAAGGGGTCAGCAACACCTTCAGCAAAACTGTAAAAGCCCCCAGCACTGTCAGGGCCCTTGGTCCTCAGCACACACAACATGGATAACAGCGTCTGCCCACTGCGCTGCCCAGTCTCTTTCTCTACTTCCCTGTCTGGTCTTACTTCCTCCTTCCCCTTCTCTCTTTATCTCTTTCCACTCTTCTCTTCTTCTTCACTGTGCAATATAAAAACAGTCCTGAAATGCATTATGTTAACAGGCTTTACAGATCTGTGGGGACTGGGCGGGCAGCAGCCTGACCCTGTACACATGCCCACTTCCCCAGCGCAGGTTGGCCCTTCCTCCCTAACACTGATATCACCCATTCTTTCAGCTGGGTTCCCTTCTTTGAAAAGGCCGGGCAGTTTCCCAGCCCCTTCCTGCTCATGATGGTGAGTATGTCGCTAATGTGAAATGCCCTGCTTACAGGGCATCTAGACAGTGACCTGCTGCTCAAGGTCGGGGGCCAATGTCTTTCCTTTCCAGAGCTGGCTGGCCTGTGAATCTCAGCCTGGACCACACTCTCTTGTGACTAGACTGGTCTGCAAACCAAGAACTTCCTTTCCAAGACTCCCTGGTATTTAATATGTGCTTCTGACTCTAGCAGAGCCATTCCCAGGGTGGCCTCAGCTGTGCCTTCCAGTAGCCTTGCCCCACTGACAGGTCTGCACCAGGATGCTGTGAGCATGCCCCAGGCCTTTCCTCACTGCAGCAATGATAGAACCATCGTAGGCATTCCAGCTGCTGAGGTCCAGGGCCCTGAGTACATGTCCCTGAGCTGAGCCCAAACTTACCAGCCCACCCCATTGTTCCTGGCACTAAGTGACCTGCATTAAGCACCACTGCTGGCACCACTCTGAACAGCTCACCACTTCAACTCTTTAACAATCCTGTGAGGCAGGCTGAGTGTCATAACTGTTCTCCAGGGAAGGCGACTGAGACACAGACGGTGAATCACTCGCCAGCCCACAGAGCTAGTGGGTGACAGCTGGCATCTAAACTCAGGCTGGCTCTGGGGCTGGCTCCTTGAACTGCTACACACCTACCTGGTGTTACAGAGACACGGGGCGTGCACATGTGCATGCATCCAAATGAACATTTACTGAGCACTGTACTACTTGTCAGGTGCTGTGCCAGGGCAAAAAAGACAACACCAAGCAAACAGATATGGTCTCAGGCCTGGACCCAGTAGGTGCACACACACATAATTACAAATTGTGAAAAATGCTATGCGGGGAAAGTAGAGGGTATAATGAGAGATTTTGGGTTATTGGGAGGAACCAATTTTAGAGTGAGAGTGGGGGCAGGAGACAAGGAAGGTCTGTCATTGAAGCTGAAATATAAAGGATGCCCAGGAATTAACCAGGTGGAAAACTGAGGAAGAGCATTCAGTTGATGAGAACAGCATGTACAAAGGTCCTGGGGTGAGAAAAAGTTGGTTCCACTGAACTGAAAGAAAGCCAGGTAGATGAGTTGTATCAGAATTGGCTGGACATCATGGAAGGGCCTTGTAGGACTTTTTGTGGGTTCTAAAATGTATTTCAATGTCAGAATATGTTCCCAATTTTGTTTCAGGAAACATGATCACTGACAGTGTAGAGAATGGGCTTCCAAAGCGAATGAGAACCCTCGAATGTATTCTTATCCCACGGACTGTCGTAAGTTCATTTAACAGGCTTATTTCCTCTCACATCAATCACAATTCTCAAGTTCTCCCTACCCTGCTACTTCTGAAATAGGCAAACAACTCTGCCATTGTTTCTTTGTTTTTTTGATGGTGTGTTTATTGCTTGTTAGGACACATTAACTTTAACAACAAATATGCAAAAGCTACGAAGCTAAGTTATTTTTGAAAAAAATAAGTAAAAGTAACAGCTGTCCCTGGTCTTAACTGAAATGTGCACTGTAGCCAGGCCTCAGCTTTAACAAAGTCCCTCACCTGGGCCATCTCATAGACTTACTAAGTTCTGCTACCAATTCCACCTGGTTCCCAACCATTCCCCAGCTGGCAAGGTTCGTCTACCACAAGTGACTCAGGGAGGGCAGTTTACATCTCATTGCAAACTCACAGGTGTTTACTCTACTTGGGAATATCTCACTACTTCAAGTAGCAAAACCGGCCAACATTGCATTACATGCTGCCTCAAAATAGGGACTGACCTCTAGACTCTCCAAGGAGTCCCAGTGTAAACATGTTATTCTTTGATTTACCTGGATGTGTCAGAGCAAACAATTTGAAAACGTGGTCCCTGGGAGGTGCACTCTCCTCTACTGGATCACACCTACCAGCATGTAAACATCCCCTGGTATCTCCCAGCTGAACAATAAAAACAAAGACATCCTCTTCTCTTGGACCCACACCCAGCTCAGCCAATGGTCCACGTTCCTACTCCCATCAGAGCTGCTACATCTGTCGACCCCAGCTCCTCACTGGCACCCACACCAGGCTTTCTCCCATTGCCCCACGTGGGCTGCTCCTGACAAAGTCACTAATAACCCCACAGTGCCAGATCCAATGGTCAATTCTCAGTTCCTCATTTTATCTTACCAGCATTTGATGCAGCTGCTCACTCCCTCCTTCTTGAATTCTTTCTTTACAGGCTTCCTGGACACCGTCCCCCCACCCCATGAGCACCCTGCCTTACCAACTTACTCCTCCTGCATTCTACCCAACTCAGTGCATGGTCATTCTGTCTGTACTTCCACTGTTCAGCTGAAAACCCTGGAGTCATTCCTTATACCTCTGATCTGCTCCTTCCTTAAATCCCAGTGCACCAGCAAACAGTATGAGCACTACTCTCAAAATAAATCCAGAATGCGACCACTTCTCCTGGACTCCACTGCCATTGCATGCGCCCTCACTCTAACTCTCACCAAAGTACTGCAGCTGCCTCTTGACTGGTCTCCCCTACATGTCCCTGAGAGAGCCTCTGAAAATGAAGCTGAAGATTGCAGGCTATGCACAAAACCCTGCAGCACCTCCCCACTTACTCAGAATACAAGTGAAAGCCCCTCACACCTCCCTGATGTCATCTCCTTCTGTCCTCCCCTAGCCTCTCTCTCACCCCTGGTCATTCCCTGAATGGGCAGGCACAGCCCCACTGCAGGACCCCATGTCTGCTGCTCCCTCCCAGACATCAGCTCAAAGGCCAGGCCTGCCTGATGGCCCACCCACCTGCGGTCCCTTCGCCTTCCTATTCACTCTTGTACCAAGGTTCTCATGACCACCTAGCATCTACCACTCTACTTTTTCTCTTCTCCCTCTGGGAAGTTCCATGAGGGCAGATCCGTTGCTCTGCTCAGTGCTTTATCTCCAGAGCTTTCAGCAGTTCCTGGTTCATAACAAGAACTTGGTAAATATGTATTGAATGAATAAATTTATAAAAGAACTTCATTTAGATAATTACATCTCTGGGTGTTGCTAATGGTGACAGTCAAGGCTCTAAGAAAGCAAGAAAACAATCTGCATCATCAAGCGGTGATGACAAAATATTCCTATGACAAACTGCACACCACAAAAATACAGTAGAAAAACACGAGGCTCAATGAAAACATACAGTCCAAATACAAGTCAGAAACTTACCTTTTTCATATGATGGTACGTTCTCTTGCAACAATTTGCTAAGCTGCACTGTATTTAACTGTAAAAATCTCAGCTGTTCTCTCATTGGTTTTCCTTCTACAACTGGGAATAAAAGACTCCCTACACTGTCTTTTGGAATTGGCAAACCAAGTCCTACTGCTAGTGTTGCAGCCAAATCAGTCTGTTGGACGTGCTTTGGATGTCGGAGGTCACCTAGAAAAAAGCAAACGTTTCAAGGAGAGTGGAGGATGGCAGTCATTTTTGAATCTGACCTCCTACGAATAATGGAAGTCAAATTACCAATCTCTTGAAACCATTCCATGTAGATTCATACAGAAATCACGCCACTGCTTTTTGTGTTGCTAGGTTTACTGAATGACCATTCTACACTGAGGACACACTCTTCCCTAACGTACCTTGCAACACACTAAGAGATGCACACAGTACGGTGTGGGTCACAGGGCATGGGGTGGGCATGGAAGCCGCAAGGAGGCTGCAGATGCTGAGCCATGGTTGACAGTCAGCCCTGTGAGGGTGGGATCTCTGGTGGCCGTGCCCTTCTGGATTCAGAACATCCCATGCTCTGCTCTCTGTGCATTCACACTCTGATGGAGGAACCTGAACCTCTCAGTGCCTCCTGAGCGGTAGAAGGTGCTTCTACTAGGGAAAGCAGAAGGAAGCTGTGTTCAGCTGGGTCAGATGCTACAATCAACTTGGACAACCAAAACACCTGACTCTAACCAAAGCTCTTCAAGCTCCAACAGTGGCTGGCCATCCTACTAACTTCTCGCAAGGAGTATGACTGTGGTGTCAGGACACTGTGCTCAGGCCACTGCTCTGCCACCATCCAGTACGACCTTGAATGAGAA